AGACATGGCTATTCCAGCTAGCGGGACTGGCCTAAGGGATATTTTAATTTGATTTTAATTTGATTTTAATTTGGTTTTTAACATAATTTTAAAAAGAAACGGCAAAAAAAATCAATATTTCATTTTAATTGTATTTTAAACTTAGTATTTTGTATGGTTTGTCTGTTTTTTAACTTGCTGTAAGCCACCCTGAGTCCGCTAGGAGAAGGGCGGGGTATAAATTTAATAAAACCTAAACCTAAACCTAAAACCTTCCATCCATCTCCTTCCCTTTCCCTTCAATCTCTCCTTCCTTCCTTCCTTCCTTCCTTCCTTCCTTCCTTCCTTCCTTCCTTCCTTCCTTCCTTCCTTCCTTTCCCCTTCAATCTCCTTCCTTCTCCATCTCCTTCCCTCCCTCCCAACATTTTTGAGCAAGGAAGAGTAAGCTTCTCCAGCGAGCATTGCTATATTGTTTTTGTGATTAATCACTATGCTTTATGTTCAATTTGTAACAATGAAAATACACCCTGCATATCAGATATTTACATTACGATTCATAACAGTAGCCAAATTACAGTTATGAAGTAGCAATGAAAATAATTTTATGGTTGGGGGTCACCACAACATGAGGAAGGTTGAGAACCACTGCTCTAGGTGTTCGCTGATTCGTTGTTTGATTATCTTTTCCAGGATCTTCCCAGGTATTGAGGTCAGGCTGATAGGTCTGTAATTTCCTGGATCCATTTTTTTTCCTTTTTTGAAGATGGGAACTACATCAGCTCTTTTCCAGTCCTCCAGTAGTTCCCCAGTGCTCCAGGATCTTTGAAAAATATAGTTCAATGGTTCCGAGATCACATCTGCCAGTTCCTTGAGAACCTTGGGGTGTAATCCATCTGGTCCTGGTGATTTGAACTCGTCTAGGCTGGACAGGTGCTCACTTATCATTTTCTTGTCTATCTTAACTTGTGTTTCTATACTGTTTTTTATGGCACTATTTTTGATAGGTTGGTCTGTTTTTTCCCTTTGTGTAAAGACAGATGCAAAAAATAAGTTAAATAGTTCTGCTTTCTCCCTATTGCTTGTCACCTTCTTGCCACTTTCACCCACTAATGGACCAATCATTTCCTTCACTTTTTCTTGTTTTTTACATGTTGAAAGAAGCTTTTTTTTTTGTTATTTTTGACTTTGGTCACAAGCCTTAGTTCATTATGAGCCTTAGCTTTCCTCACTTCATTTTTGCAGGCTTGGGCTATTTGTTGATATTCTGATTTAGTTATGTGCCCCTCTTTCCATTTTCTATACTTGTCCTTTTTATCTTTCAATTTATCAGAGAGTGAACATTTTTCACATGTATGACCATTGTAGCATCACCTGGGCACCATTGTGGTTGAAAGTCAAGGATTACCTGTACAGCCAAGCCAACTTAATCTTTCACACAAGCCACACCAGTGTAAGATAAGTCACTCAGATAGACACGTCATTTCTTCCATTAACCTTATAACATAATTTTCTAAACGGGATCCAAAGATAAAAATGCCCTGAAGCAGAGAGGTGGAACTGGAAGCAGACTTGCCAAAAAAGGAAGGCAGATTGAAATCCTCTGTGTAGGATCCCACCCATGGGAACAAACTCAGAAGAACAAAAGGGATTCTGCAAGCGAAGTCCCAGCACACTCCTTTGAGAAACTGCACAGAAATGCTGGCGCTCAGCTTCATTTTCCTCCTGCTCTGCCTCCTGGTTGTCCAACTGGTGAGGCTGCAGTTTCAAAGAAGGCACTATCCACCAGGGCCGACACCTCTGCCTTTCATCGGATGCTTATGGCACCCCAAATTTCTTCAACTAAACCGGGAACTCTTGACTGAGGTATGAGTTGTCCGTCCCTTTCCTCAACTGATTGACTCGGAGCAAAGAACAAATTATTGTTAGGGGAGATGCACAGATCATTTATTGCTAAGTGACATTGTGGCTTTTGTGTGGCCAAAGAGGGGGTGGTCAAATCAATTTCTTTTTTCGTAAGAGCTACTCTTTGTGCTCACTATGTCTTCTAAGAGTAATGGGGTTGAGAATGAATGAATAAATGAATAAATGAATGAATGAATGAATAAAAGCAAATATTTTCCCCAACTTGCCTCTCCATCCCTCCGTATTTTTAAGATCTTTCAACATCTGCCTGACTTATTTCTTCATTAAATGTACATGCTGCCCCTTTCACTGTCAGTGTGACTCTGGGTGGCTCACAACAGGATAAAAGCAAGAATAGGAAAAGGTGAAAAATATTTTATAATTTTAAAGCTTAAAATCAACAAGGATGGGCTAAAACTAGGACCCAGTGCAGGCAATCCTCGACTTACCACCACAATTGACCCCAAAATTTCTGTTGCTAAGCGAGACAGTTGTTAAGCGAATTTTTGCCCCATTTTACAACCTCATTTCCATGGTTGTTAAGCGAATCGCCGCAGTTGTTAAGGTAGTCACACAGTTGTTAAGTGAATCTGGCTTCCCTCTTGACTTTGCTTGTCAGAAGGTCACAAAAGGGGAACACGTGACCCCGGGACCCTGCAACCGTCATAAATAGGAGCCAGTTTGCCAAGCATCTGAATTTTGATTATATCACGGGGATGCTGCAACGGTCGTAAGTTGTCATGGCCCCATTGGAGCCTGGTTCGGAGGAGGAGTTGGAACCAGGACGATCCAACAGAGATGGCACGTCTCCCTTGGCCTGTTTGGAGAGGCCGGAGCTGAGGACGATGCTGTCCCAGGCCCTTCAATCTTCTCCTCCTCCTCTCCCTCCTTCCAGCACTGATGATGTTACCTAGTTGGGCAATGAAATGTCTGCAAGAAAATCACCAAGCTCAGAGAGCACCAAGGACTCCACAGTCCTTTTTTTTATATATAATATATTTTAATGATTTTTTTAAAGAAAAAACATAAATCACTCAATAATTGCTGACCAATGCGTTGACTGGGTTACATTTGTAAAAAAAAATCATTAATAATTAATTTCTATAATCCATATTCCAAATATTAATTTTAGTTGATTTCCTCTTTCCCCAAAATAACCTCTTTTGCAAACATTAGATTAATAGAATTCTTATTGTTTTGATAAATAACAATTGAACATATATTTTTTCCCAATATTCCTAAAAATAATAATCATATTTGTATAATAATAATAATAATAATAATAATAATAGTAATAATAATAATAATAATAATAATACACAAAATGCCAAATCCAGTCTGAACATCTGGCTGACTGTGCGATGATCCATAATAATAATAATAGCCAACACTCCAGAAGACAGGCTTAGGATACAGGAGGATCTGGACAGACTTGAATACTGGGCACTATCTAACAAAATGAAATTCAATGGTGAAAAAAGGAAGGTTCTACATTTAGGCAAGAAAAACCAAATGTACAGGTATAGTATAGAGGGTACCTTGCTCAATAGTAGTAACTGTGAGAGGGATCTCGGAGTCCTAGTGGACAATCACTTAAATATGAGCCAGCAGTGTGCTGCAGCTGCCAAAAAAGCCAACACAGTGCTGGGCTGCATTAACAGAGGGATAGAATCAAGATCACGTGAAGTAATAATACCACTTTACAAGGCCTTGGTAAGGCCACACTTGGAATACTGCATCCAGTTTTGGTCACCACAATGTAAAAAAGATGCTGAGACTCTAGAAAGAGTACAGAGAAGAGCAACAAAGATAATTAGGGGACTGGAGGCTAAAACATATAAGGAACGGTTGCTGGAATTGGGTATGTCTAGTTTAACGAAGAGAAGGATGAGGGGGGACATGATAGCAGTGTTCCAATATCTCAGGGGCTGCCACAAAGAAGAGGGAGTCAAGCTATTCTCCAAGGTGCCTGAAGGCAGGACGAGAAGCAACGGTTGGAAACTAATCAAGGAGAGAAGCAACCTAGAACTAAGGAGAAACTTCCTGACAGTGAGAACAATTAACCAGTGGAACAACCTGCCTCCAGAAGTGGTGAATGCTCCAACACTGGAAGTTTTTAAGAAGAGACTGGACAGCCATTTGTCTGAAATGGTGTTGGGTTCCTGCCTGAGCAGGGGGTTGGACTCGATGACCTCCAAGGTCCCTTACAACTTTATTATTATTATATAACAACAACAACAACAACAACAACAACAACAACAACAACAANAATAATAATAATAATAATAATAATAATAATAATAATAATAATAATAATAAAGTTGGAAGGGACCTTGGAGGTCATCGAGTCCAACCCCCTGCTCAGGCAGGAACCCTATACTATTTCGGACAAATGGCTGTCCAGTCTCTTCTTAAAAACTTCCAGTGTTGGAGCATTCACCGCTTCTGGAGGCAGGTTGTTCCATTGGTTAATTGTTCTCACTGTCAGGAAGTTTCTCCTTAGTTCTAGGTTGCTTCTCTCCTTGATTAGTTTCCATCCGTTGCTTCTTGTCCTGCCTTCAGGCGCTATTCAATCATTCTTGTTGCCTTATCATAAATCCTGTTAACTCCTTATTTTAGTTTATTTCTCCCACCAAATTCTAGATCAGTGGTTCTCAACCTGTGGGTCGGGACCCCATTTGGGGTCGATCGACCATTTCATGGTCGCCAAGCAAGGCTGTCCGCCATTTTTTTTGTCCGCCATTTTTTTTGTCCACCATTTTTCCCCCTTTTCCGGCGGGTGCCTTACCTCCCTTGAGCTGGGCCAGCTGGTGGTCGGCCTGCTCCGTCTCTGCCGCTTGCCAGCTACGCCTCGGCTGGCGCAGGGGGCGAAACCACGCATGCGCGGCGCTCCCGGGCAGGGAAAGTCCTCGATTTACGACCGGTTGGGTAGTCCTCGATTTACGACCGGTTTAGTCCTCGACTTACGACCGGTTGGGGTCGCGGCATTAAAAAGGTTGAGAACCACTGTTCTAGATATTCTTGCTGGTAAAGATTTTCTCAAAAATTAATTACCTTTACATTTACAAATTTAACTCTATTTTTTTCCATATAAGCCATCTCACACTTTTACATTCCTTAAGAAACAGATAAAACAATGAAGAGAAAGAAAAAAGAAAAAAAAGGAAAACAAAAGTGAAGGAACATAAGAAATAACATACTATTTAAAATATATATCCCTCCTTGGCTAATATGTATTTATGACCTTAATTTCTTGTTCTTTTTAACCATAATTAAGAATATATCTAATCTTTAATCTTTAAACATTCCATTCAATACTAGTCATCTAGTCCTTTAACTCTTACTCAACACACATTTTTTTTATAATTTTCTTAGATTCAGTCACATTTCAGTATCTAAAACATTTCCTTTATTTAAATCATTTCAACTTTTTTATATTACTCATAGCAAGAAAAAGAACACAAAAGAAAAAAAGCATACTATATTGTTTAGAGAGTTCATCCCTCTTAAAACAAATGTTTTTTTAAGTATTCTCTCTAATAAGTCCCATCATCTATTTTCTTGGTTTCCATCTTAATCTTTTTTCTTTGCCCGATATCTTTCTTAATCAATGTATTTTGCTGGATCAAAGGGTTTTTCCATATGTTCATAAATGTTACTGTAGATATAAAAAGTAAGTCAGTATCTTTGTTAAGGGCATTTGCCCACTCCTTTTTATTGGGAATCTTTTCTCTTCTTTTTCCCTCCACTTCTCTTATCGCTTTTTGTCTCTCCAGTGCTGGTGTTTTTCCTAATATTTCTTTATTTTGCAGTGTTGAAAAATCTAGTATTTCTTGAAAAAAAATTTCCCACTTGGATTAGATCACACTCCTTTGTTTTGTAGAATTTCATCTTCAAGTCTCTATCCTCGAGTTTATGTTCAGTCATCTGTTTTGTCTGTTCCTTCTCTGCTGTATTTTACTGAGGATTTTTTTTTGCTATAAACTTAAACTAGAGATGAATTGACTTATATTTTCAAAGTTATTCTGAATTTCTTTGTGATTTGAGATCATTGTTGTCCGAATCAATTGCAGCCCCACGTATATCTCTTGAAGAATATTCATTTTTTTCTTGATAAGTATTTCCTATAAATCTCTGATTTTCCATGACGACCAAAAGTCCAGACTTTTTCCTTCCCCGCCTTGAGTCAGAATTGAATAAATACCTATAGTCCAAAGAATTTTTTAAAAAAGTTCTTTTTTTGTTTTGTTCTGTTCTGTTTTTGTTCCCTCAGGTTTGTAAGCCTCACTTTATCTACACAACTGTTCTTTGTTTGTTAAGGCTTTGAAGGTCACAGGCAAACCCAAATTTTACCATGACTGTCATAATCCTCATCCACCAGTAGGTGTCTTCACTTTCAGAGGAGGTTTTTTTTTGCTTCTTGGGAGTTTCTATCCTTCAGGAAAGTAGATAGGATAGAGAAAATCAATATTCTTACCCAGATTCAATCACACTGTTTACAATCAGTTAAATTAGTGCTTTTGACTTCTGTTGCTTGCAGCTGGGACTGGACTCTGAAGTTAAGCCAGCCTTTCTCCTGTTGGTTTCTGGAAGGCTTCTCCTGGACCGATCAGGTCGACCGCCGTCTCTCCTAGGTCCCTAGGACTTCCTTCCTTCATTGCCACCTCTCCAGGCTGGCTTCTGGCCCATTTAGGGTCCCCTAACAGGGACAAACTCAGCTGGAGGGCTCGGAATCCCGAATCCCTCAACTGCTTCGCTGTGTGCAGGAACCGGAAGATCAGGACCCCACAGTCCTCCTCCTCCACCACCACCACCACCACCTCTTCCTCTTCCTAGTCACCAGTCTAGGCCAAGAATCTTAAAGACAAGCATCTTAAAGACCGCCTGGGATGGTTTTTCCAACAGATGTCGAAGATCTACGGGAATATCTTCACGTTGTGGTTTGGGCCGTATCCTGTGATTATATTACAAGGTTTCCAAGCGGTGAAGGATGGTCTCACCACCCACCCTGAAGACGTGGCTGGCCGGCCTTTGCTCCCCTTATTTAAAGCAGTGGCAAATAATAAAGGTAAGAACAATCAACTTTTTTTTTCAGATGTGGGCACAGGAGACAGGACAATGTCCATTTGTTTGGTGTCACCTCCATTGTGGTTCAGCTGGTCCTCAATTTGCAACCACATTTGGGACTGGAACCTCTGTTGCTAAGCGAGGAGGTTGTTAAGTGAATTATGCCTGATTTTACTACCCTTTTGCCACAGTCATTAAGTGAATCCAGCTTCCCCCATTGGCTTTGCTTGTCAGAAGCTGGCTGGGAAAGTCGCAAATGTTCATTATGTGACCCCAGGATACTGCAAATCATCATAAATACATGCCAGGTGTCCAGCACTTGAATTTTGAATGTTATAAGTGTGAGGACTAGTCATAAGTCACCTTTTTCAGCATTGTCGCAATTTCAAACGGTAGTTAAACAAATTGTCATAAACTGAGGACTATCTCTACAGTTGCAGTGCAAAAAGTGAGTTCTCTCTAACGTCAATAAACTCTCAATTTTATCCATAAGAAAATTGCCGTTTCTTTCCCTCCCCTGGAAAATTATTGGCCTCTTTTTTTTTTTTTTTAAAGATGTTGAAATAATAATAATAATAATAATAATAATAATAATAATAATAATAATAATAATAATAATAATAATAATAATAATAAAGTTGGAAGGGACCTTGGAGGTCATCTAGTTCAACCCTCTGCTCAGGCAGGAAACCCTATACCATTTCAGACAAATGGCTGTCCAGTCTCTTCTTAAAAACTTCCAGTGTTAGAGCATTCACCACTTCTGGAGGCAGGTTGTTCCACTGGTTAATTGTTCTAACTGTCAGGAAGTTTCTCCTTAGTTCTAGGTTGCTTCTCTCCTTGATTAGTTTCCATCCGATGCTTCTTGTCCTGCCTTCAGGCGCTTTGGAAAATAGCTTGACTCCCTCTTCTTTGGGGCAGCCCCTGAGATATTGGAACACTGCTATCATGTTCCCCCCTCGTCCTTCTCTTCATTAAACCAGACATACCCAATTCCAGCAGCCTTTCCTTATATGCTTTGGCCTCCAGTCCCCTAATCATCTTTGTTGCTCTTCTCTGTACTCTTTCTAGAGTCTCAACATCTTTTTTACATTGTGGTAACCAAAACTGGATGCAGTATTCCAAGTGTGGCCTTACCAAGGCATTGTAAAGTGGTATTAATACTTCATGTGATCTTGATTCTATCCCTCTGTTAATGCAGCCCAGCACTGTGTTGGCCTTTTTGGCAGCTGCAGCACACTGCTGGCTCATATTTAAGTGATTGTCCACTAGGACTCAGAGGTCCCTCTCACAGTTACTACTATTGAGCAAGGTACCCCGTATACTATACCTGTACATTTGGTTTTTCTTGCCTAAATGTAGAACCTTACTTTTTTCACCATTGAATTTCATTTTGTTAGATAGCGCCCAGTGTTCAAGTCTGTTCAGATCCTCCTGTATCCTAAGCCTGTCTTCTGGAGTGTTGGCTATTCCTGCCAGCTTGATGTCATCTGCAAATTTGATGAGTTCCCCATCTATCCCCTCGTCCAAATCATTGATGAAGGTGTTGAAGAGCACTGGGCCCAGAACAGAGCCCTGGGGCACCCCACTACAAACTTCCTTCCATGTAGATGCGGTTCCATTGAGGACCACACGCTGAGTACGGCCGGTCAGCCAGCTACTGATCCATCTGGTGGTGATGCTGTCTAACCCACATTTTTCTATCTTATCAAGTAGTAGGTTGTGATCTACTTTATCAAATGCCTTACTGAAGTCCAAGTAAATTATGTCCACAGCATTCCTCTGATCCACTAATTTTGTCACTTGGTTAAAGAATGCATTATGATTTGTCTGGCATGATCTGTTTTTGACAAACCCGTGTTGGCTTTTAGTAATGACTTTGTTTGCCTCTAGGTGTTCGCTGATTCGTTGTTTGATTATCTTTTCCAGAATCTTCCCAGGTATTGAGGTCAGGCTGATAGGTCTGTAATTTCCTGGGTCCATTTTTTTTCCTTTTTTGAAGATGGGAACTACATCAGCTCTTTTCCAATCCTCCCGTAGTTCCCCAGTGCTCCAGGATCTTTGAAAAATATAGTTCAATGGTTCCGAGATCACATCTGCCAGTTCCTTGAGAACCCTGGGATGTAATCCATCTGGTCCTAGTGATTTGAATTCATCTAGGCTGGACAGGTGTTCACTTACCGTTTTCTTGCCTATCTTAATTTGCGTTTCTATACTGTTTTTTATGGCACTATTTTTGGTAGGTTGGTCTGTTTTTTCCCTTTGTGTAAAGACAGATGCAAAAAACGAGTTAAATAGTTCTGCTTTCTCCCTGTTGCTTGTCACCTTCTTGCCACTTTCCCCCACTAATGGACCAATCATTTCCTTCACTTTTTTCTTGTTTTTTACATGTTGAAAGAAGCTTTTTTTGTTATTTTTGATTTTGGTCGCAAGTTCATTTTGAGCCTTAGCTTTCCTCACTTCATCTTTGCAGGCTCGGGCTATTTGTTGATATTCTGACTTAGTTATGTGCCCCTCTTTCCACTTTCTATACTTGTCTTTTTTATCTTTCAATTTATCAGAGAGTTCTTTATGCAGCCATGCTGATTTCTTTTGAGAGCTGTTATTTTTCCTCTTTGTTGGTATTGTGCTGGACTGGGCTTTTATTATCTCACTTTTCAAAATTTCCCAAACTTCTTGAGTTGTTTTCCCCTTGAGGATTCTCATCCATGGAATCCTTCCCAAGCCCTCTCTAAGTTTATTGAAATTAGCTCTCTTGAAGTCCAAGACTCTAGTTTGACTGTGTTCTATTGCTTGTGCTTCCATAATATTGAATTCCAATATTGCATGATCACTTCCTCCCAAGGTTCCTGTGGCTTCAACACCTTCTATCATTTCATCTCTGTTAGTGAGAATTAGATCCAAAATGGCTAATCCCCTAGTTCCCTTCTCTACTTTTTGGGAGACAAAATTGTCTGCTAGGTTTGCAAGGAATCTGTTTGATCTTCCACTTGGTGCAGAATTTGTCTCCCAGTTGATGTCAGTTGAAGTCCCCCAATAATTAGAATAATTATTTCATAGGGATAATTCACAAAGAACAGAATGACATTAACGTTCCCTTCTTTAGTTTAGTAAGAATTTACATCCTTAAATATTGACATACCGAGCATATGTATTTTTGAGAAATTAAATAAATCTTCCAGGTGTTTGAACTTCCATGGAAGAAGATGTAGCTGCAAATTTAATGTGAAGGAAATTGATGACACCGTTGCTATGATGGAATCTGGAAAGGTTCTAGGGCCAGATGAAATAACTGCAGAGCACTACAAAAATATTAAGGCAAGAATAGATTCGCTATTATTGAAGAAATCTTGTTTAAAAATAGGACCTGCCAGCTTTATATTGTGCACTTGGTATACTAATGCTTTTGAAAGGTGAGAAGGACCCTGTGAATTGTACAAAATGTTATCTGCGGCTGACACTAAGATTTTAACAAGTGGCTTTGGTGAGAAAGTTATAGAATACAGAACCGACAATCATTCTTCCCGCTCAAGCAACAAACTTCAGATAATATTTGAGTTTTGGACAACGTATCATTCCTAAAAACACAGATCAGTAGATTTTGGCATTGCTGAATGCAGAAAAAGCTTTTGTTCTGGTACAAATTATGTTTTTGGTTCAAGTGATGAAGAAGCGTAGACTAATAAAAGTGTACACAATTTTACAAAGGAAAAATAACTTTCTTAAAATGACTGAATGGCGAAATGTTTAACCTGTTCATTTGTTTGGCTCCCATGTCTACAAGGCACTCGGTGTACAGATAACACTTGAGTAGTTACACCCCTTCATTTAGCAACTGCTTGAAGTTACAACAGCACTGAAAAAAAAAGGTTCCCACACTTACAGGTCACAAGGCACTCGGTGTACTTATAATCTTTGAGTAGATACAATCCTTCATTTAACAACTGCTTGAAGTTACAACAGCACTGAACAAGGGTTCCCACCCTTACATTGCAGCATCCCCATGGTCATAAAAGAATAGAAGAATAACAGAACCGGAAGGGACCTTGGAGGTCATCTAGTCCAACCCCCTGCTCAGGCAGGAAAACCTATAGTACCATGTCAGACAAGTGGCTGTCCAGTCTCTTCTTAAAACCCTCCAGTGTTGGAGCATTCACCGCTTCTGGAGGCAGGTTGTCCCACTCAAGAGGAGCAATCTCCAATTCGGTTAGATTTGTTTCCCAAACTCCACACCCTAGTTGTGTCTCGGAGTTGCATTCACACACAGTTTATTCAGCTGGATTAGGCTTCAGTTTGTTCCGATTTGGTTTTGGAGAATTTAAATGGCCTGTTTGGGTATCTAAAATGCTTAATTCAGTAAAGATGTTATATCAACGCATTATAAAGCAATAAAACAAAGGATTAAAAACCATATCCCCCCCTCCAATAAAGGAACAGAGCAATGGCACTCATTAGATGAATTAATTTCAGTGGGATTACAAGTTTACTTTCCATATAATTTAACAGAATAACAGAGTTAGAAGGGACCTTAGAGCTCTTCTCGTCCAGCCCCCTATACCAATTTAGAGAGATGGCTGTCCAGTCTCTTCTTAAAAGCCTCCAGTGATGCAGCACCCACAACCTCTGAAGGCAAAGCCATCCCACTGATTAATTGTTCTCACTGTCAGGAAATTTCTCCTTATTTCTAGGCTGGATCCCTCCTTGGTTTGTTTCCATCCATTGCTTCTCCTGCCTTCAGGTGCTTCCCAGAATAGGTTGCCCCCCTCTTCTTTGTGGCAGCCCCTCAAATATTGGAATGCTGCTATCATCTCACCCCTCGTCCTTCTTTTCATTAAACTAGACATACCCAATTCTTGCAACTGTTCTTTATATGTTTTAGCCTCCAGTCCCCTAATCATGTTTGCTGCTCTTCTCTGCACACTTTCCAGGAACTCAACATATTTATTTGTATCGTGGCAACCAAAACTGAATGCAATATTCCAAGGATGGTCTTACCAAGGCATTATAAAGCGGCACTAACACTTCACTTCATGGGTTTATGATAGTTGCAGTATCCCAGGGTCATATTATCATCATTTGCAATCTTCCCAGCCAGCTTGAAAAGTAAAGTCAATGGGGGACATTGTGATTCACTTAACAACTGCAGTGATTCACTTAATGACCATGCCAAAAAACAGTAGCAGTCTTATATGTTGCTTCATACTGCTTTACAGAGCTCTCTAAACCAGGGGTCCCCAACCCTCGCGATGTGGTCCAGTGCCAGGCTGTGGAAGCGGCGGGCAAGTGCGTGAATGGTGGGTGGGCATGCTTGCCCGCAAAGCTCCATTTGGCCAAAGGGCAGGCACACGGGCCTTCCTAGTGGTGGGATTCAAACATATGAACAACTGGTTTTCTGTGTGGATGCTGCTTCTGGAAGTCTATTCTGGGCCTGGGCAAGAAAGAATTAGCTTCCGGTTCTGCCGAAGTGGTGCGAACTGGCTGAATCCCACCACTGGGCCCGCCACTTGTGTAAATGGAGCTGCAAATGCACGTATAGGGTTTGTCCAAATGGGTAAAAACTTATTCTTGTTGTTAGCCTAACTGCCGCCATTTTGCTTCTATAAACTGTCCTTGCGGTAGGGACGCCATTTTATGAAGGCAGGAAGAACACTTACACAGGCCCAGAGACAAGGAAAAGAGCGGGAAAAGAATGGAATGTGATTGGCTAATGCTATGTGTACTGACATGTGTAACTCTGTGATTGGCTGTTCCTGCCTGTATAAGGAAATGCTTGACTGACCAAGGTCTGGCACTTCTGAACGCAGCTGCCAGTGTTTCAGACAGTGTTCCACCCAGCAACTTCACTTGATCAATTAAAGCACTGTTTATCTTGGAAGGCTCTGCTTGAGTCTCCTGATTTGCCCTCTTGGAACCTCACGTTCTTCGGGTAGCGGTTGACCCTCACACACGCATGCCGACTGCTTACACGGAACCATCCCCTCTTCTCCTCCTCCCCCGCCAGTCTGCCAAGCTGGAAAGATAGGGGGTCTGCTCTAAGTGGTTTTAGAGTCAGCCTATTGCCCCTCTCAACAATCTAGCCCCTCATTTTACCGACCTCGGAAGGATGGAAGGCTGAGTCAAGCTTGAGCCAGTCAGGATCGAGCTGCTGGCAGTGGGCAGAGATAGCCTGCACTGCTGCATTCTTTAACGACTGCACCAACCAGGCTCAGCTTATAAAAAAGATTTAAAAGATTGTAAAACTGGATGGGTCTTGCTTAACAACCAGCCTGCTGAACAATGGGAGTTTTGCTCCCAACTGTGATCTTAAATCAAGGATTAACTATATTGGAGGATCCTTCCCTGAGATTATATTTATTGCTATCATGCCTTAAAAAAGAAAATGACAGAAATCACTTTGGACAATATGCAAGATAACCAGAATAGAGACATGTTCAGAGAATAAATGCGAACAATTTGTATTAATCAAAAATCAACACTTGAAAATAGCAGAGTTAATGCAATAGTAGAGTTAATGCAATTGTGAAATTTGAATTAATTCGTTGCATGGATTTTGGGGGTTCCTTTTTTTACTTTATTTCTTCTCCCCCCCAGTATTTTTCTTGGTTATTTACTTCTTTGTTTCTAATGTTTTTCTGCTTTTCTTCTTGCTTTGTTCTCCTTAATTCTTTTGTCCCCTCTTTAGTTAGCTTAGTTTAGTCTTTCTGTTTCATGATAGTGTTTCTTACTAACTCCGTAGCCTATGCTGCCCACCTGGCAGAATTGGACTTCAAGTTTCAGAGGCAGCCTTACGTTCCAGATGTGATTACCCATGGCACCAGACAGACAGATAATGTTCTGAGAAGGGCATTTTCCCTTTCTGTCTGTTCTAAAGACTGGAATAAGGCCAATCATCTGTCATTCTGTGGTTCTCTGTCATCAGGGATTGTGCTTTCCACTGGTCGAACCTGGAAGCACCAAAGGCGATTTTCAATGGCGACTCTGAAGGTCCTCGGCATGGGGAAGAGCACTCTGCAGTATCAGATCGAAGAGGAAGCAGAGAATTTGGTGGAAGAGTTCAGGAAAAGTGAAGGTACAACGAAGACGAGCGGGTTTATTTTATTTTTTTGTCAGAAACCTGCATTGTTTTAGTTTGTTTTAATTTTCCAAAATGTAAAAGCTAAGACAAATAGGACGGTCTGAAGTCATTTCTCCAGTGTCTGCAAGGGAAGGCAAAGTGTCAAAAAAGATCAAGATGGTGGCTTACACCATCAAGGCTTTGATCCTTTTTTCATGTTTTGAGCAAGGAAATGTAAGACGTATAGGCATCTGGTCCATTATATAGTTAGCTTAGGAATTAAGCACTGTGTTAGAGCATTTAGCATTTAAAGGGTTAAAACGCTGTTTCCTTAAGAAATGGCTTCTGGAAATGTAATCTAGTTGTTAGTCAGTCCTATATCTTATCTAGTCAGTGGGAGGAGCCTCAAAGTTTATTGCAAGACTTCCTGGCTATGTGCCAGGGTTTTATTATCTCTCTGCATGAATCCTAGCTACGATGCTAGGCTAGGAGCTCTGTAGCAGCATGTAACATTTACATAGGATGGGGAAATCCATTATTCCTTTACCTATGCGATGGATCCAGATTACAACCTGCATTCCGGAGGAACCTCTGCTGTAACTGTGAGTTATTGACTTGAGGATACCTGTGAATAAAAGTAATTTGCATTATCTGTCCATTGAGTTCATTCTGCCTGTTTCACGTGGATTCCAGCAACCCTCTCTGCATGGGACAGGACAGGGCCAATAAGTAAATAAATAGAGAGAGAGGATAAATGATAGCTATCTAGCTATCTAGCTATCTAGCTATCTAGCTATCTAGCTATCTAGCTATCTAGCTATCTAGCTATCTAGCTATCTAGCTATCTATCTAGATAGATAGATAGATAGATAGATAGATAGATAGATAGATAGATAGATAGATAGATAGATAGATAGATAGATAGATAGATAGATAGATAGATAGATAGATAGATAGGATAGGATAGGATAGGATAGGATAGGATAGGATATAGACAGACAGACAGACAGACAGACAGACAGATACAGATAGATACATAATAGATTGGATAGACATAGATAATAGAAAAGATAGAGATAGATAGATAGATAGATAGATAGATAGATAGATAGATATAGAGATAGATAGATAATAAATAGATAGATAGATAGATAGATAGATAGATAGATAGATAGATAGATAGATAGATAGATAGATAGATAGGATAGAGACAGACAGACAGACAGATACAGATAGATACATAATAGATTGGATAGACATAGATAATAGAAAAGATAGAGATAGATAGATAGATAGATAGATAGATAGATAGATAGATAGATAGATAGATAGATAGATAGATAGATAGATAGATAGATAGATAGATAGACAGATAGATTTAGAAAGATAGGTACAGATAGTTAATAGATAAGATAGATGATAGATAGATTGATAGATATATAGAAAGATAGATAGATAAATAGGATAGAGTTAGATAGATAGATGATAGATAGATGATACATACATGATATAGATAGATAGACAGACAGGCAGGCAGGCAGGCAGGCAGGCAGGCAGGCAGGCAGGCAGACAGGCAGACAGATAGATGTCACCCCTCATCTTTCTCCTTGTGCCCTGTGCAATCTTTGCAAGAGACATGCCAGTCACCAAATTCCTCTTTCCCTTTGCAGGAAAACCCATGAATCCTTATTTGGCCCTGAACCTCGCAGTTTGCAACGTGATTTGTGTACTCGTGTTTGGATATCGTTTCTCCATAGAAGACGAGACTTTTCATCAGCTGCTGGAAGCCGTGGAGAAAATTTTCGGTGTTGCTAACAGTCTCACGGGTAATGTGAGTGATCCCTTCTTTCCTTATATATATATATATATATATATATATATATATATATATATATATATATGTTGACTGGGTCCATTGGTAATTCAGTGGTACATATTAACTTTTTCAGTCTAGTTCCAATACTACACCATCCAGTGCTTCCTTGATCCTCTCTTCTTCCAGTGGTATGCATTTTTCCACACTGGGCAAATACAATTCTTGTTAAAATTAATACATATACAATTAAATGTAGACATCTTCATTACATTTTTCTGGTATTATACATAATATCGATAGTGTCAGTTTATAATATCTTGTCTAGCTAGAACGTATCTCAATTGCATTTGCACTTAAAATCCATTTATTCAATCAATATCCAGTTTTTCCCACTTTTTAAAAATTTAATTTCCCATCAATGTTCAAAATATCTCTAGGGCTTATAATTTTCTCATAATAAATTATATTTGGGTAACCAAAAGCTTCCCTTATTCAAACACTTTTAGAATTTTCATACTTCCCATCTCATAACAAAGTACGATATTCTAGTTACAAATTCTATCCTTTTAATTATAATAATACTTTTATTTCTAACAGTTATCTTTTTTCTTAACCATATTCAAACATCTGTTTAAAAGTATAATATCCCATCTAATACAAAACCTCTATTTTCTTCAGTCTTACTCTAGCTTTCTTCCTTTGCCAAATAACTTTCCAAGTCAGTGCATTTGAATCATCAAGTAATTCTTCCCCTGTTTTTGTATATATTGTTTGGAATGAGGAAGAGAATTTGATTGCAGTATTTTTGGAAGAACGCTCAACCCATTTATATTCATTAAACAGCCTCCATCCTTCTCCTTCAGTTTTTCTTTTCATTTCTTGTTTGTCAATATTCAGCATTTCTCCTAACAGCTTTATCATCTGTTCGATCAGCTCTTCTTCCTTATCCTCAAATGTGTTCTGAGATCTTGACAAGTAAGATATAATTTCCATTTCCTGTGTTATCACTGCATCTTCTATTTTTTCATTGGTCTGTATTTGTCTATTAATTCTTTCCTTTAGGTCTTCCATCTTTGGATCCATTTCTTCTAATTTTCCTTCCATTTTCTGGGTTACTAGTTCCTTCTTTGTAGTTATTGTCTGAATTTGTAAGTTTAGGTAAGAAAATTGTTCTTTTATCTCATTTGTATTATTTTTAGTCTCATCATGAAATAAAACAATTGCCTCTTGGATTGATTTTAATATAGAAAGTATTTCTTTCTGAGATTCATTAACATTTTCTTGTTGTTATATCAAGCTGGGGACTTCAGAGACAAGTGTTAAAAATGTTTTTTTTACCATTTAAGGCTAAGTATGGAGCACCCATTTTGTTCTTATATGTAGTCGTTATAGTCCAATAAGGTCACCAATATAGATAAGCAGCCCAAGAGGTTTTTTTTTTTCTTTTCCCAGCTGCAGTCTGCAAAAGTGAAAGTTTCCAGGAACAACAAAGAGTCTTATCTAAGTCAGGGCTTCAAGCCAAGTTTCCTTTAAGCATAATAAATTGTAGTGCCATGATTTCGCCACTAGATGTCATTGACATCGTCTTCCAGCTTTCCAAATCCAAGCCTATTTTACAGACTTTCAAATATCTTTTTTTTTTAAATAAAGTCTCAAAGATACTTTTAGTCCCCAAATTTCAAAACTATATATCTGTATTAATTCCAAATTGATCTTATAGTTTTCTCTATTTTCCCCCAAAGCAATTAATTTGCCGCTTTTCTTTTCCTGAGGGAGCGGGGCAAAAACTTCCTTTCCCTCTCTCAACGGGGAGGATTCTTTGCTTTGGGCATTTTTTCCCCCAGGAAAGTAGTATCAAGGTCATAAAAAGAGGATAAGGTCTCACCCAGTTCCATCCACATTGCTCAAAAATTGCTAGTTAGTGCTTATCTTCAGTTGCCAGCAGCTTGTGACTGGCCACACGAATGTAGCCATTCTTTCCTCCGCCAGTTTGGAGGCTTCCTCAGATCCAGTGGAAGGGCTGCCATCCTCTCCACAATCGACGAGGGTCCCCTCCTTCTTCATCGCCTCTCCAGGGCAACTTTTGGCCCTTTTTAAGGTCCCCAGCAGGGTGGAATCGAATGTGGAAGACGGGACTCCAACCCTCGGTCCATCATACCGCGATGCCTAACTGGAAGTTCCTTCTTTCCTTTTTCTAAAGACAACCAAAATATTATGGTCACTGAACAGGCCTAGAATGGGGAGTGTCAAAAACCTGCAGTGGGTACTAAAGGCTAGCCGGAAAGGAGGCCTATCCACAGGAAGAGGAGTCCAAAAATCAAAATGGCAGCCACGATTGTGCAATCGAGGCCCCGCCCCCATTTTTTGTGGGTCATATATGTAGCACAGATGTGAAAGGGACAGATCTTTGATTGAATTGTGGTGGCAGCCATCTTTTTGACTGTATTCTTGTTGAGTGAGATTGGTTGGGTTTCCCAAGTATTGATAGTCCTTGAGTTACGACCATAATGGATCTGGCCCATCATGGTCGTAACTTGTGATGGTCATAAAATGGGTCAGTCACACAATTTTACACTATTTTTTGTGGCAATTATTAACCAATTCCACTGTCATTAAAGCAAATGCCAGCAACATTAAGCAAAGCAATGGTTCAATTTGGACACGATTTTGCCCCCCCCCCAAATTGAAGTAAATGCTGGCTTTTACATCGTAAAACACGCCATGTGGGATACTGATGTGGCGTAATTGCTGAACTCCCAAAGTGTGATTACATGTCTGGTGTGGTGTGGTGTAAAGGATAATCATCAGAACTTGAATCCGGATAATAAAGTACTCCCCCCCCAGGTAGGTCTGACAAAACATTGGGACTTGCTAAGTGACTGATTGTAAGTTGAGGACTACCTGCATTTATGTCCTTTTTGGATTCCTTTTAGCTAATAATGCATCCTGATGTACAAAACTCCTGCTTACGGTATTTTGAAAACCCTTATCTCTCAGGTTTTGCACAAATAATCCAAAAAGTCACAGCAGTTTATCTTTGGAGATTCTCAGTCATCCAGGTGACGGTTGTCCCAAAAATATTTTTTCAAAAGGCAACTAGACTTTGTTTTTCCTTGAAGATGTTTCACTTGTCATCCAAGAAGCTTCCTCAGTTCTGACTGAATAGTGGAGAATGGAAGGATTTATATTTTTGGAGTCATCTGGCCGTTAGTATTCTCTCTGAGAGCCATTAAAGTGGCCTCAATGATCCTCAGGAAGAGAGTACTAAAGACTAGATGACTGCAAAGAATATACATCCTTCCATTCTCCACCATTCGGTCAGGAGTGAAGAAGCTTCTTGGATGACAAGTGAAATGTCTTCAAGGAAAAACAAAGAGTCCAGTTGCCTTTTGAAAAAGCACCTTTCAAAGACAAGGACAGACAGATTATTAAGATGAACAATCCCTGATAATGATACTGTCCGATGTTCCCCTCTAAGGAAAAACATATTCTCGGACTTTAATTTAAAGAACAGTTACATCAATTTGAGACTCTAGACTTAATGTTCTTATGTCTTCCTGCTTTATAGTTTTATTTAACAAGGGACCTGGAATTCTGCCTCAGTACTGTATTCTACTATAGTAAAAGATAAAAATGCCTGGACATTCTCAGAAACCTTGAAAAGGAGAATACAATGCTGATATATTGCAAATACAACAGAAAAACGAAAAGACAAAAGCAATAAAAATAAGTAAAAAAATTAAAGAAAAATTATAAAAATAAGAAAATAATCACTCACTGACACACAGATTTTCTCTTACGCCTCTTCCTCCAAAGATGTTCAAAACAACCAGAATTTAATTCATCCTGGAGTAAAGGAAGCAGTGTAGAATGCTCTCGTCACATCAAAGTCTTGATCATTTCTACCAAGATTCGTCTCCAGGATTTTGCTCTCAAATCAGTTCCTTTTCCCTCTGTTTAATCCTTATTTCTTTATTATATTGACCAGCCATCTCAGGTGATTTTTCTTCTCTTCTGCCAGATGTACAATATACTTCCCTGGATTATGGAGTGTGTTCCAGGACCTCACAAGAGGGCATTATCCTTGCGTGACTTTGTTTGGTCATTCATAAGAGAGGAGATCAAGAAGCACCAAGAAGCAGACCATGGAGAAAAAGGCCAAGACTTCATTCATTTTTACCTGGCTCAAATAGAGAAAGTAAGTGGGTGCTCTTTTTGTGTGTGACTGTTAGATACCTTATCGTATAAAGGCTTCCCAACCTTGGCAGCTTCAAGACGGGTGGACTTCAACTCCCAAAATTCCCCAGCCAGCAAGCTGTATAGTAGCCTTGAGTATTGTCTTCTCTCGGGATTGTGACAATGCAGCATCGGAGAGGATGCCAGGGCTCTGAGACCCACAGGAGCAAATGCCTGCCTTTCTTGGCCCTGCCTTCCCTCAAGGGAGAAGGCTGCAGCTGTTGAAATTGGCAATGTCAGAAAGTCTGTTTATATATAGCACTGCAGAGCAAACAAAGAGTACAGTCACCATGTGCTTTACTGCTCAGCTGTTTTAAACTCTAACAGGAAATAGGAAACTCTCCCCAGAATAAACAGAACCATAGACATTATAACCATAGATACAAACTAAACACTGCCATCTACTGGCTGAACGATTCTGTAGTTGTTGCGATACAAAATGCATTCTAACATGTATTCCATCAGGCAAGGACTAGAAGGAAGTGATGGCCTTCAAGGTTTCTCAGGTATTCTTTTCTCCGTTTTTGTTCTGCAGACAAAAAAACAACCCAAATCGCCCTATGACGAAAAGAACCTGGTTCAGAACATTTTTGATCTCTTCGTGGGGGGAACAGAAACATCGGGCACCACCCTCTACTGGGGATTGTTGTATATGGTGCTTTATCCTGACATTCACGGTGAGAGAAGAATCACAAGTTGGACGAGATAGAAGGGACCTTTATAGCCCAACTATACTCAATGCCTGAAGCTGCTTGGAGCATCTTCATTAGTAATTGTCAATTATTATTGGAAGAATTCTTTAGTTATCGGTAGTCCTCAACTTACAATCATAATGCAGGCTGCTCATTACGGTCTACGACATTTGCTAAGCGGGCCACCTCCCTTAATGACCCCAACCCCTGCTCTCCCCATTGCAGTTGTTTTTATTTATTTATTTATTTTTTATTTTATTTTATTCAAATACAAATAATGCAAAAATAATACATATGTCTAAATTAAAAAAATATAAAAATACAAATATTACAGTGCACCCCCTCCGAGATCATTTTTATTAGCTATATTTTTTCTCATATAACAACTAACAATATACAATATATTTCAACTGTGCCCTTATCCCCTCCAAAACAGCCTATATTCCTGAGTAGGTTTATTCCCTTTGCCTTCCATCAACACTGTTTTTATAAAATTCTCCCATATTTCATTATAATTATTTACTTTAATCGTCCCTTTTTTACATTTAATTTCTGTTGTTAATTTATCCTTTATTGCCATATTCCATATTTCATTATACCACTCATTTCTTTGAATAACCCAATTCCGTCTCCAATATTTAGCCATCACTAATCTAGCTGCCATTATCAAATTTACAATCAATTCCTTTTTTGCTTCATTTATATCTTGTTTTTCCACCAGTAACAGTAATGCAATCCTGGGAGACATATCTAAATTTACCTTCAAAAGATCTCTAATTTCCCTAAATACCATGTCCCATATCTTTTGTGCGCTATCACAATCCCACCACATATGTTTATAGGTTCCAATCTCTTTCTCACACCTCCAACAAATATTTGTATATTTAACATCTATTTGATTTAATTTACGTGGTGTTAGGTATCACCTCCATATCACTTTATATCCATTTTCCTTAACTCTATCTGACATATTCTTATATACTCATCTGTTTCAAATATTTTTCTAATCTTTATCATTTATTTCTCCTAAATCTGTTTCCCAGATTAATTTTAAACCTTTTGTCTGATCTTCTAGTTCAGTTAATATTCTATATATTTTCCCAATTCTTCCTTTACCTATATATTCTTCCTTTACCTCATTTTCTTTTACAACCATTTCAAGTTTTGTTAACTGCCTATCTTTCACCTCAAATTTTTCTTCCATTTTTATCCATTTCTCTAATTGTATTAAATTCAACCAATTTAATTTAATATCTGATAAAACATTCTTTTATGTTCTTTATCTTGTTCTTCCAGTCTTCCCATTTATATATCTGATTTTTTAAAAAAAATACTAATCCATTCTTTCAATTCGATCTTAGGGAATTTCTCCATTTCCAACCCCGGTGTTAAAGGAGAAATTCCTGGCATTAACTGATATCTCCATTTATTCCATAGTTCTATCAATTTTTTAAAAAAGGGATTTTTGCGGTCGTTAAATGACCATGTGGGTTATTAAGTGGAGCATGGGGTGCCTCAGAAATGGCGGACTCGGTCCTGTGATCGGTCATAAGGGCAGGTGGTTTGCCAAGCACCTGAATTTTCTTCACAAGATCCCAGGAGCACTGCAGTGAGTAACTTCAGGAAAAGGTCATAAGCCTCTTCATTTAGTGCCATCGTAATTTTAAATCGTTGCTGTCATAAGTAATGGTTATAAGTCAAGGGCTACCTGTAATCAAGATGTCAAGATGTTTTTTTCCCTCTCAAAGTATGAGATGGTCCAAGTAGGGCTTGACTTTGTCTGTTCAGGCCACTGGTATGATAAGAACATATAAACCACAGAGGGTGAATGGAGTGTTGGGGGAAGACTACCAGTTTACTTTTGAGTAAACCCAGCAGATGTTCAGGGTGTGCCAAGCATGCCCAAGATAGCCTCCGTTTACATCCTAGACCAACGGCAGTGTATATTTTGATTAACACTTGCTCATCTCTCCTGGATACCCAAAGCCCACTGCTTACTTGTACCTTTTAATCTAATATTGTCTAAGCTTCATTCAGTCTAAATTATCTTATGCAATATTGCAGATGTGCATGCTTCAGAATTTGCTTAGAAGTGGGTTGAAACCTAAGAGCATGTAAGCAAAGTCAATCTCAGCTATTTCTTACAACAGATGAACCTATTTCTTAAAAGTATGGTGCTAGGAGTACTCCCTGTGTTGCCCATACTGGTTTACCGTCCTGTGTATTCTCACACAAGCCTACCCAGCCTTCCCACCGACTGCCTAGGCAGTGTATACTGGCCACCCCAGAACACTTACCTAGGTCCGTGCACGGAGTTGCCCAGTTCCCGGAAGCCAGCAACACACACACCGGTTCAATTCTTATCTCTGTCCAACATCANAATCCTATAGCTCAGTGTGGAAATCCTATAGCCTACGTGCAGAACTCTTACAAGGTACGTGTACATGTAGAAATTGTGTAGAAATCTTGCAGTCTACGTGTAGAAATATTGTGTAGAAATCTTACTGTCTACGTGTAGAAATTTTACAGAGTACGTGTCACTTAACTTTACTTTTTATTCTAAAATTTTATTCCTAACACCAAGGATGCCCCTTCTGCTTGGCCCAGTTGGATGGGTAGAAGCATTTGAAAAAAGGCGATTCCCTCAGGGGTGTCCAACCTTGGCAACTTTAAGACTTGTGGACTTCAACTCCCAGAATTCCTCAGCCAGTATGGCTGGTGGGGGAATTCTGGGAGTTCAAGTCCATTAAACTTCAAATTGCCACAGTTGGACACCCCTGGGAACTTTAGACTTGTAGGCCTCAACTCCCAGAATTCCTCAGCCCACAAGGCTGGCGGGAGAAATCTGGGAGTTGAAGTCCACAAGTCTTAAAGATGCCAAGGTTGGACACCCCTGGTCTAGATAACTCCCTCCTCCTAGGCTGAGATTCTGCCATTAATAGACCACGGACAGCTGAGGCCACACCTGGAGTTCACTCCTAACTCTAGTTGATGTGCAAAATCTTTGTTTCTCCCCAGCCAAAGTTCAAAAGGAAATCGATAGCGTTTTACCAACAGGCCAGTCGATCTGTTACGAGGATCGCAAGAATCTTCCGTACACAAATGCGGTGGTGCACGAAATCCAGCGCTTTAGCAACATCATCGCGATCGGAGTGCCCAGATACTGCATAAGAGATACGATGATCCAGAAGTTTCTCTTTAGAAAGGTAAATGAATTCCTGTGTTCTGGAGCCTTCTTTTCTTCTCCTCACCATATTGCTAGAGGAAGCACATGCAATACAGGGAGTCGTCGGTTAACAACGGGAATTGGACTAAGAACTCTGTTGTTAAGTGCGATGTCATGTGACTGCATCAACTTACGACGGCGGTTCGGGCAGTTCCTGTTAGGGCTCTTTAGGCAAATTCTATTTTATTCTTTTATTCTTTTTTAATGCTGAAGCGCAAACATTTTAAAGACACAAAGTCCTTTCCTTCAGGATAATTTTTTTTTCAACTGCCCAGCCTTAACCTATTTGTATTTTTTTTTAGAAGAGTGATCTTTAAAGCCATGAATTGAAATTTGTCACTTCGGCCTCTGTTGGCAGCAGATATAATCATTTTTTTCCCTTCCCTCAGGGTGAAAGGCAAAACTTAATTGCTCCTCTTCTTTTCCACAGGGCACCACCTTTTTCCCAAACATGGCTTCTGCCTTGTATGATGCCAACGAGTGGGAGACACCCCTCGCCTTCAACCCGAACCATTTCCTCGACAAGGAAGGCAATTTCACCTGTCGAGAAGCTTTCATCCCATTTTCTCTAGGTGCTCGTTCAGCTTGTTAAAATTCCATCGAATCTTTAATGATATGCATTGACTGCTCCTGTTTTGCCCCTCAAACAATCATAAGTATGAAAACCCATCATAAGTCACTTTTTTTCAATGCTGTTGTAACTTTGAATGGCCACTGAACAAATATTTGTAAGTTCAGGACTACCTGTATTCCCCTTACCAGGAAGGGATACGGACAACAGTGTCCAAGGGAATCCAGGTCAATCACATTGTAAACTCTAATCCAGGGGTGAGGGACGATGGCCCTTTTATGACTTGTGGACTTCAACTCCCAGAATTCCTCAGCCAGCCGTGATGGACTTCAACTTCCAGAATTCCTAAGATGGTCATGCTGGCTCAGGAATTCTGGGAGTTGAAGTCCACAGGTTGTAAAGGGGCCATAATTGCCCAATCCTTTTATCACCTGTGGACCTCAACACCCAGAATTCTTAAGACAGCTATACTGGCTCAGGAATTCTGGGAGTTGAAGTCCACAGTCATAAAGGGGCCCATGGTTCCCCACCTCTGCCCTAATCACTCCCTGCCAGCACTGATTTGTTGTTTTCCTCTCCTTTCCTAGGTCATCGAGCATGTTTGGGAGAAAATTTGGCAAAAACAGAGATCTTCCTTTTCTTTACCAACCTTGTGCAAACGTTCAATTTCCACTTGGCCGACGGATCAAAAGATATAAAGCTTGACCCGATCTGGGGAGGCACTCTGCATCCTCATTCCTTTGAGATCTGTGCAATTCCTCGCTAGTCCACTATGCCAGGTCTGAATAGCAGCTGTGGATACTGGGACTGGGAATCCAAGTAGCTGGCTTTGTCTCTTCCAACTTTTGTCTGAAAAAAAGCACGTTTCCAGCCCTTGTTGCGAAAGAAAAATGTATACAACCTAGTCTCATTCTGCAACATGGGCTTTTGAATACTGACAAGCCAGCAACATCAGCCCTGGGCTGTTCTCTATGTTCTTGTCATTTATCTAGTTCTACTTGCTCCCTTTTAACTCAGCCCCTAATCTGACCTCTTTTAAAATAAAATTTTAATTAATTGCAAAAAGCAAGAGAAACAAGAAAAAAAAGCACTTGAGCGTTCACCACTCTTTGAATAATCCTTTTTTAAAATAAAAACATATTTTCATAACATGTTGACATTAGTTCAGCCTCCTTGACGGTGGAAGAGAAAGAGGAAACTTAGAGATGTACAAGGGCAACTCGGAAATAAACCTCCGTTTGGTTATCAACGACACTCACAGATACAGAACTTTTATTATACACATTAGAAAACTAGAAGATTACATTACTTTTCGACATAATCGCCATTCAAATTGAGGCACTTGTCATAACGTCTTACAAGATTTGAAATTCCTTAGTAGTAGTCGCTCAGCGCCAAATCTGGGCAATGGGGGGTGATCAGAAACATCCCAATGGAACGGCTTCAAAAGTTCTTGGGTGCGTCTAGCGATGTGCAGGGGAGCATTGTATCGTGACCCAACGCCACACTGGAAGTGGTGCCATAGAAAATCCCGCCAAATGTGAAAATGCCAAAGGAGTACTGCCAGTGAAGTTCATGGAGCGTGGTTTGACCATCAATTCAGAAGTCTTCTCTCAGACCCCTCCAATGTATTTCCCTTCCTATTATTGCTTTGCCTGTGTATTCCTTTTTGGGGTCTGCCATTCTGGTGGGAGGGGGACTGCTTGCTTGGGGAAGTATTTGCCTGGCTCTTTGAAATGTCCTCCCTTCGTGAAAAAGGAATGTGACCCGAAAACATCTGCCTTATCTCCAGACAATGGACCCTGGGATCGTTGGGAAATGAAACCGAGAGAGACCTTGAGACGGGCGCTAAATCACTAGGTTCCCAAAACAACCCAGTGCCTATGGATTGGCTGGATTTGAAATGGACGGTTGGACACTGGGGTGGGGGGGTGGAGACCTGAATGTAATCATTTGCCCAGGAAATCATCAGACCTTGCTTTTCTCTACTGCTATCACTAACTCAATAAAAGTTCCTTTTGAAACAATGCCTGTTTCAAGAGTTCTGCTTTCTTGGGAGACCTAGCTGAGGCAGGTCCTTACATCTACTGTGAAATGTTACGAAAACTCAGAGGAGCCATCCATAACAAGCGTTGGGGCATGCTGACTTCCAGTGTGGTGTTGGTTCGCAATAATGCTCGCCCGCACATCGTTAGACACACCCAAGAACTTTTGAGGCAGTTCCATTAGGATGTGTTTGATTCCCCCCCCCAGACCATATTTGACGCCAAGTGACTACTAAGGAATTTCAAATCATGCCTGGGTAGCATTCGGCTCTCTCCTCCTTCATGGAGTCAAGGGCTATCTTCATCATGCCGATTGCCTGTTCCAGCAACCGGTTAGAATGCCCTGCGTGATCCTCCTCGTCCTCGCTGAGATGGAGGGACCTTTCCATTTCCTCCTTCCAGCCTGGTAGATGACCGCCCCATCTGAACATCACCTTCCTGGCCTTCTTCTCCCAGTCATCCTTCTTCCCAACGCCCATCGACCACCTACTGTAGGCTTGTGGTGGCATTCTGTCACCACCTCCTCTTCCAAAGAGCTTTAGGATCTGGAACTGGAGTGTTTGCAGGGGGTCTGCTCAGCGGGAGGTTTCCCCCCCCTATAGCAGGTTCCTCTCTCTCTATTCCATTGTCTGACATGACTTCCCAAGTCCCACAGTAAGGGCTTTCTTCTGAGCTGACTATTACTGCAGATCCTGTCTAATGTCAGGGCCCACTTCAAAACCTCATCCTAAGAAAGCAGAACTCGTGGAAGCAGTTTCTTCCAAAAGGAACTTTTATTAGGAGAAGCTGACAGCAGGCATGATAGGCAGGATCTGAGGGTTTCCCGCTCAGATCAATAGGTCAAAAATGTCCCAAGCAAACCCCATCCCAAGGTTCATCCGGTCAGTTCAAATGGGCCAATCCCCAAGTGTTAAGTCCGTTGTGGGAAAGAGCAGATAATGCCAGGCTGTCTCAGGGTTGCAGCGATGTTTTGTCGGCTCGTCACACCTTCCCTTCAGAAACGGAGATAAGCCAATTGCTGGAGGCACATTCCTTTCTTCCCCCCCCCCCTTTGTAGCTGACATCAAGGGGAAAGATAGTTCACAGAGGAGGTATGCAGAAATGCAAAGTGTTACAGTGTAGTGATAGGGGAAAACAGAGCAATAACCCACAGTGCTTTCCTCCCCTCCCCTCCAGGAGCATGGCAGAACCCAGAAGTATAGGAAGAGTAGAGTTAGAGTTAAAGGTAGAAAAGGGACTCCTTAGAATATGGGTTCTGACAGCAAGTTAAGGCAGAACCTCCTATGAAAGGAAGAGGAATGACTGAGAAATCATTTTAAAAGCCAGATCAATGATATCCTATATTCATTTTAATATATTTTAGGATGGCCGACAATGAGGAACAGCACAGAGTTTAAAGGGGAGAGGATGTAAGGTAAGATATTACAAACCCAAGTTCCGGGGTAGTCCAGTCCATTGAAGTTTTTCTCCTAGTTAGATGGAAACAGTTCAACAGGTGAGGTAGGTCGAGATTTCATTTTCAGGCCGCCCAGCTGCGGAGCTTGTCACTGGAGAGGGAATGATGGGACTTCCCATGGACTCACGCTTTGATTCCTTCACTCTCACTGCAGTTGAGGTCAGGAGGACCTGGCATGGTTGGGACCACTCAGGACTGGTACTTACAGGTGACAGTTCTTTTCACCTGAGCCCACTCTCCAGGAACAATAATGGTCAGAGACAGGTGGTAAGGCAGCCTGAGCCTGTACTGGAATAGAAGACAAAACCTGGGCCAGATTATGCAAATTCTGAGTAACATTCTTCCCTTCTTCATTGACATTCTTGAACCTTCGTGCAACTCCCCTCCATCATTTCAAACAAGACAAGGGAAATTTTCCAGAGTTGAGGCCTGTACTGAAATGGCCTCACCACTAGATGTCACAACCTGTCCAGCCATTGTGTACCATCCACAACACCAGCCTGCCAGACACCTCTGCTCTGCAGGCTGCACAAGAGCAACTTAGAACGTAGAACAATAGAGTTGGAAGAGGCCTTGGAGTCCCTTGCACAGATAAAGCCCCAAGTGCCCTGTGCATCTGAGCAACGTGAGGGTTTATTTGTGTATCTGTTTATCTGAGGCAGGGGTAGGCAACCTTGGCTCTTTTATGACTCGCAGACTTCAACTCCCAGAATTCCTGAGCCAGCATGGGGAACTATGGCCCCTTCATGACTTGTGGATTTCAACTCCCAGAAGAAGGGGGTGGGGGGTGGGACCAGGGCAAGTGCCAAGGCATGGTCCACTGGAGGAACCTCACTGTTCCTCTCAGGCCATGTGGGGGGGGGGCTGGATGGTCGTACGGGCTGCCCAGAGCCCTGGGCAGCAGAGGTCAAATCTGTCCACCTCAGTGCCCACACTTCCCTGAATCCAAATTATCTGCAGAAATATTCAAGAGCCATGTCTCCTGTTTTCTAGTGTGCGGCATTTCACAAAGAAATGGACAGAACTCTCTCCCTGGGTTAAGTGGTGGACAAGGAGCAGATGGTGGCAAGCGTGAGTCTTGCCTTTTTTCCCAGGGATGGGGCTCCAAAGGGGCCACTTTTCTCCTGCAAATGGAAGCCTCGTCTGTAAGAAGCATCACCGGTGGTTCTGTTCAAATCTTCACATTGGCAGCCAACGAGGGGAGATGTCCGAACCCCAAAGTCTGCTCAGCAACCTGCATGGAAGCTACGAAGGCCAGGCGGCCCCACAGCTTCTAGTTCAGTGGTGGCGAAACTATGGCACGGGTGCCAGAGGTGGCACTCAGCCCTCTCTGTGGGCACGCGTGCCGTCGCCCCAGTCCTAGGCCTTAAGCTGGGTTTTATAAAACTTTTTCACTTTAGGCCTCCGCCGCCGTGTGCAAAAAAAAAAAAAAAAAGGTTCAATCAATTTCAACTTCTTGCGGGAAAAAAAAGGTCTTGCAAAGTTGGAATTGATTGATTGAACTTTTTAGTCCCACCCAGTCTGCTGTTACCATTGCAGCCACGCCCACCCAATGGGCCACACCCACCCAAAGGGTCGCACCCAGCCAATGGGTCACACCCAGCCAGTGGGCCACACCCACCCGGCATCCGATGATGCATAAGTGGGTTTTGGGTTGCAGTTTGGGCACTTGGTCTCTAAAAGGTTCACCATCGCTGTCCTAACGTGTTGACTGCTCCTCCGTGCTTTTGCTAATTGGAGCAAAATAATATTTTAGTGAATGAAAGGCCAGCTTTTTAAGTATTTTTACTTTCTTCATGCTCAGTGTCACACGTGTTCCAGAAGAGCTCCTCTTTCTTCCCATTACAATCTGGATTTCCCAGTATAATACACAGCTGCAATAATGGGAAGGACATTTTGCCCCAGGGCTGAGGAGGTGTAGGAGAACAGCCTTATCAACCTGCATCACCTCTCCCAAAAGAAGCGCCCAGGTAAAGCAGGTGTGTGGAGGAATGATTGAGCCAGAGACGAGATTTTGGAAGGAACTAGCTTGGATGGTTGAAAATTAGAAGGCTTGTTTAAAGATGTTTCGAATAATTGTTGGAAGTGTAAACAAAAGCCAGGCACTTACTCTCATATCTGGTGGGTGTGCCCCAGTGCAAAGAAATATTGGTTCAAGATTCATATATGGCTGGAAAAGATGACTAAAACACATATAAAAATTTAGGCCAGAATTGTTTCTGCTAGGAATATTAGGATCTAATTATGGGAAAGAGAACGAGTATT